TGTGTGTGTGTGTGTGTGTGTGTGTGTGTAGCCTACAGGTTTCCTAGATGCAAACCTCTGCTTATAAGCCTGTTGTTTATACATTATCAACATTAAAGGGAAAATTATCTAGCCCAATATGGATGAGAAGAGTAATTGTCCAAGCCCAATATCCTGCTGTCAATCAGTTTTATTGTCTGTCCATTTGAGACTGACTTAGAGTGGAAAACCCTCCTTAGCTGATGGATTAGTGTTACTAATGGAGCCTGATGCTTTTGAACAAGGCACCAAAATTCTCTCAAAAGGGAGAATAAAGTTTATATTGCCTAGTGACTTCTTCAATGTACCAAAATAAGACACAATGTGTTTGGATGAACCTCTGTTTTTTTGTCTCAGAAGAATCTTCCTACTAATCTGTCTCACACAAATGGCATGTAGATGGAAATCGTTTCAGGATCAATGAAAATATAATCACATGCTCACTCAGTCCCTTTCTTCTGCCCTTCAAACGCATTCCCTGAGTTGCAAATCATCACCGCACCCCTGCTGAATTACACAAGAGGTTCATTCCCCACTTTTTTTAAAAATTAAACTCCACTCTGTACACAACATAACATACCAGAAGTCTATGTGAGCACAACAGGGATGAAGCCTGTAATCAAGCAAGGCTAAACCATTTACAACTCTTAATCGTCTCACCTTTCCTTATGTTTTTATTACAAGAAACAATGTTTAGAGCCCTCCCCCCACCTTGTTACACCTAAGAGCTATTTGAAAATCTCCTGTTTACCCCTCAAGGTTTAATAAATAACCAGTATAATTGAGCTCAGCATAGAGACCTGATGGTAATCTCTCATCAAGAGGTAATCACATCCCTGCCTCTCCTAGTCACATCCTCAGTTTACAGCTTTTTGGATTTTTTGCTTGTGAAGTGCTTGGACATGTTGTTTCAATACGTTCCGCACACGTGGACTTTTACTAGCTGCACTCTCTCCGACAGGATAATCTGAAAGGCACTTTTACAATTGAGACCATTGTAGTTAAGCAGCTCTTCTCCTTTTTCTTCTGTTACTGAAGGGAAAAGGTCAGCACACAGCCTAAATGCTTAATCCTACCACATACAAGAGCGACCAAGAGATGAAATCCAAAACAGAGGTGAAAAGCAATATAAATTCCTTGGTAGCAACTGCCCTCTGCTTGAAAATATAGGGATTGTTTCAGGTTTCACATGACAACCACCTGGCATTTGTATTCAGGCCTGACATTTCTGTCGCTCTCAGACTGAAGCTGCCCATAGACGCAGCAAAGATGCTCAACTGTGCCTACAAAAACAACTCAAATGAGAGTCATTGTATCTGAGGCTTTGGGTTTATTTCCTCTCCTCCTGTAACTCTCTTTAGACTGATAATAACAAAGGGTAGAATTTGTTCCAGGGAACAGTCTTAGAACCATAATCCCTTCCCACACCCTGACCTTAACCTTTGCTGGTGGATGTGGGACTTGACAGGAAGTGCAGAAAAATACGCACCTCTATTACACACTACTCCCCTCCTAAAAGAAAAACATTTATTTCCTGTAAGAACAGAACTGATGGGTACACTCCTTTACCTCAGCTCTCACTCAATCAGAAGTAGCAGTTGGCTCAAAGTGAGGGTCCACCCCATTTTCCCATAATTATTCACTTAGTTATAGGGCCAAGACAAGAGGTCAGGGCTCTAATACGTAATACAATGAAGGGACCAAACCTCTAGAGATCTTAAGGGTTCCCTATTCAACCACTGATAAGTCATCAGTGTTTCAGTTTTTGTTCCACAGTTTTCAATCTTCATCAAGAGACCATCAATGAACCACCTCATTCCTTAAAAATGACATCAGTGATTTCTATATTAAGACAGATTTCTTTGTCTGCTTTCCATCCTGCCTCCAACATAACTCTTTCAACATACACCACTGGAAGCTTGTGATTCTTGTATTGCCCAGCAAAATCATTTAAAGTGAAGTATGCAGGGACACAGCAGGCTGAACACTGGCCTTATTCTGCTGGTGTACGCCAGAGACAGTGGTCAACAGCATCTTTATTGTCTCACAAGTGAAGATAGTTCATGGAATGAAGTTATAGTAATGTCCTTTTACTTTTCTTATATTCCATGTGGCAAGAATGTCATTGGGTTTAATCCATAGCACTGGGGCATTTTCCACATGTCCCTTGCTCTAATTGTTTTCCCTTGTTCTATGAGTGAAATAGAAAAAACAAAAAGGCATGGAAACAATAGATAAATAGTTCACACATCCTATTGAATATTTGGGGGAGCAAAACTTCAGGAGCAAAGTTTTTTTTCAAGCAACTTTGGTCACACTTGTGGTCACAAGAACTACAGGCTCACTGGTGGAGCATTTGTGAGTGGAGTGAAATGAATTTGCATAATTTGGTAAGAGAATTAGAATAACAATGTTGTTAATGAATAGATAGGTAAACTGCTGTTCAGTTAACTGTGTTAATCAGTAACATTAGTGACTGTCCTCTCCAAGACAACAACAAGAATACATTAACAGTAAACAAGACCAGAGAGGCACATGTGTTATTTAACACTTTGGTAAGTGTAGGAGAAACTCACAGAACTTATGTGCTGACCCACATCTTTGTCAGACTGATTTACGTGTGTGACACAAATCTATGCCGTTGGTGGTTCTTACATAAATGTGTTAGTGTCATGAAGATGTACTATCCTACAGTGAACCCCCCAGTGGACACACACGTTTCCCACCAGAGATCAAGCACCAAGCGTACACCCAGGACAAAGTGTACCTGTGTCACCCTGGTGTGCTGCTTCACCTCCAGCTCTCCTCCACACACACTCCACTGTTACTCACCCACTTTGAACTGAGACGTCTTGTCGTGTGGGTCTGCGTGTTCCTTCACCAGCATCATGTGCAGGATGCCGAAAGAGTTTTGGATCCCGAAGATGGACCCGTTGCACCAGGTGGCTGCGAGCACCACCAGCCAGCCGAAACCCCCCTCGGGTGGGACAAATTCGTGCCCGGTTCTCTCCGACTGGATCCCCGCCTCCGAGTCCGAAGCCGGGTAGACGGGGGGTTTGCACCCGGCCTCGATCAGCTGCACGGTGCTGTCCTCCTGCACGATTTTGCGCTCGCTGCCCAGCGCATGGTCGCTCTTGCCGCCGTCTGCTTCATGGGGAGCATCCCCCTGCTCCCTCTGTGGATCTGCAGTCGGCTGCTCCGTGCGGCACTCGCCGCTGGACGGCTGAGCCTGATTGTCTAACCCGTTGATCCCCATGCTGTCTGCTGTGGTGCTGAGGTTACTGTGGGCTCTTGGCGCACATGCATGAGATATAGGTCACTGACATAAGAGTACCTACGGGAACACCAGCTTTGATTGGCTATCTGTCTAACTGCAGACGGTCCTTTCCTGACAGAGAGAGCCGCTCACACTCTGCTCGTAGCCCGGATCCGTGCGGCAACTTCAGCAGATAAACTCCGACCCGCGAACAGTGGAAGTGTCATTCTCGTCGGATGTTTGTCTTGGTCTTGGTACAGGAATTAGCTGTAGGCGCCGCCTACTCTTCCCTTTAACGTGAGCCTATGTCTCTGTGAACCCTTGAGACTCTCACTATACATTCACCTCTCCTCTGCCCCCCCCCCCCCCCCCCCCCCACCCCCCCTGCTCGGTGACAAATCAACAACCTGTGAACACGGCCGATAAACCGCTTCGGCACCGCACCGCACCGCCCCTTGACCCGTCACGCAACCCGCACAGGGTCCGCAGCATCCCGCGGTGGCTATAGACACGACCCCGGCGCTGGTCCTCCCTCATGTGCTGTCTTTACAAGGTGGAGTACGTCGGCCGGTGCGGGTTCCGGGGGCTGGCTCGGCTCTGGAGTATCAACACAACTGCGGCCCGTCATTCAACCGTCTCGCCACCGCCTCCTTCTCCCCGGCGGATGGAGGGTTGGACCATAGGGTTGGACCCAGAGGTGGTGGAGCCTCTGCGCAGACGTAGACCAGAATTTCGTGTCTTATCGGGTTTCACGTAGAGATCCGAGTGTTCCTCGGGCTGCTCGTCTGTGGTTTTCCGTCGCTTAGTGACGTGTCTTCGGTTAGGGAAGGCAGGTGGAAGAGGGTTCGCTGCGGTTTTCCTCCGAACAGTCTCTACACTTACTGAAAACCTGTGTCCTCCATTGTGTCGAAGGCTGTTTTCTTCTAGCTTCAGACACGAGCTGTGGGTTATAATGTTACTGTGATTATTATTTATTAACAGCTTGGTTCAGCCGCTGCACTTTACACGCATGGCTGCTGTGTTTTATATGTTATCAGCTTCCTGTGAAAAGGGAAAGTAATGATTGACCCCCGGCTGAAGAACCTCATGTTGAACCCATTCACCCTTTATTCATTTATTTATTTATTTATCTTCAACCTAAACAATGTGGCTGCTTCGTAAAAATCGAACCAAATGGTGTTGTTACCTAAACCCAAGCATACGGAGATGAAATCTGAAAACATAATAGTAATAGTACCGTTTGTAATAATGATTAAAAACATAGATGAAAAAGAAAAAGAGGAAAAGTCTCGTTCAAAGAGTCCACCAATGAACGAGCTCTATTCTTACCACGTGAGCTACACAAAGCTCAGCGTGTTTCCGGGTTTGTGCTCTGCAGAGTTTCCGCACATTTCTGCTTCAGCTCCAGCTCAGGTGGGTTCTGTCCGGTTCATATTCACTCTGTGGTTCGAACCTTAGACTGTATACACATTGTATATGCTTCTAAAATCCAATGGCTCAACACGGGTCCATTAAACCACAACTGCAAAGTAGCTACCCAAGCTGCACGAGTTAAAGTACAAATACACAAGACATACTTTATTTGAGTATTTCCATTTTGTGCTACTTTACAATTCTACTTCACCACAAAGTAGGTGGTATTTTATTTTCTCCACTGGTGTTATTTCACATTGACAGTGTGAATGCTCTAATTACTAATAAAGATTCTGCATTCAAATCTTAATGAAAGTACACAATATTACGAGCAAATAAGTCTGTTCATGGAGAATAGGCCCTGTGTGAGCTGTAGGTTAGTTTACAGTTATAACTGGATTATTACCCATCATGGATTAAAGTGTAATCAGCATTTTACTTTTGTAGCTGTTGCTAGTTGGTATAATCCACATCAGAGCATGTTTAATAAGGGAATGATAACATATGTATGTAAAGTCCTTATCTGTAAAGTAAATAGTTACAGTTGTCAGATAAATGTAGTAGAGTGGAAGATACAGTCATTTACTCTGAAATGTAGCCTAAGTATAACACTAGCATAATATTTGTACATCCAATCAGTGATCTGCATTTGTTATTTAATCTGCAGATTAAGATTGTAAACAAAAAATATATAATCAATTTATAGAATATTCATTATTGTATTTATAACTACCAAAGAATATATAAAAGGATAACATAAAATAACCAAGGACCACCATTCCCAATGCAGAGATTCTCCAACATTTTGTTTGTTTCTTCTTAGTTTTCATCTTTATTCATTTGACCAGGACCAGGCGTCAATAATACGCCTGGGCCACTAAGAGGAGCTACAACACTGTGTAAGGGGTTGTTCAGCACTGACTGCACAAGAGCAAGGTTGGAGATTACCCAATAGTTACGTTCACATTCTGAAACTGAGAAAACAGTACATAACATATTAATGGTTCAGTTTATTCATTCTTAAAATTGTGAAAATCTTAGCATTCCCATCATAATCAACCTGTGCCTATAGTACATAAAAAAAATCATTAACACACTTTGCTTAAATTAACAAAACTATATTCCACATAAGAGCTTATTTTTTCTTAAAAGTGTCTGTAAAAGAACAATTCAAACCTTAGTCCAGCATTCAGACTTCCAACCCACACCTTGCTTATCCACCATTGTGTAATCTATTTTAAATGTGACACATTCAGTTGCTCAGCAGAAAACATTTGCGACATCTCAACATGTGATGACTTGTAGTATCTTAAATACATTATAGTACACTTTTTTCTTTTTGTAACATTAAAAGGACCCATGAATTTGTCTTAAGCCTTTTCCCTACCCTATCAAAAGTTTATATTACCATCTATGGATATTCACGTCACCAGGGAGGATTTTAACTGAATTCCACCTGTTGTAGAATATTTTCTGACCAGCGCACTCTTTACATTATATAATTATACAAACATGTTTTGTTATGTGGGAATGTGAGACCTTGTCATCAGACCGAGCTGCTTCATCACCCATGGCTGTTTCCAATTAGCCTCTTGAGGAACAGTAAAATCGCATTGCTCCCTCTGGCTCCATGTCTAAAAATAGCGGTCCCAAAACGTCTGGTTATAACACTACCCCGGGATTCCTTATGAATGAATGAGGGGTCAAAAGTGTCATGGATCCAGCCAATGGTAGTGCTTCCTGTTTAATTTGGAATACTTTAAATCCTCAGAGAGGTGTGGGTAGCAGAAGGAATGAGCGTCCGAGAGAGGCCCACACGTCTGAGTCCTTTGTGAGGGGAGATTAAAGTGGAGGGTTTTTGTGTTAACTTTATAAACTGATTGAGGTTACATTACGCTAAGAAGTATTTAGGTTTTCTAAGAATTTACAACACTGTGGGGAAATTGTTCTGTTGGTGACGATCAAAAGATGATGGTGATGATATGTGCAGGTTGTCTCATTCATTCTCCAGCAGCGTGCTCAAACTTGCTGTGATGGTGGGAGAGGGAATGGTGGGGAAGACATCTCTGGTGATATGACTCACACTCTTAGGCTTCCTTTATTCCCCAGGGGCAAAAGAACCACTGTCTGTGCAAAACTCCAGCACTCTGGCCTTAAACTGACAAACTCATAACATCCTATTAATACAGTAATGAGCACTGTCTCCTCACTTACATGTAATCCACTGTGAGGTTCAAGTGTGACCACCGTGACCTCTTTACTCATTGGTGCATGAGGGTATGTTGGGAATTGAAGACAAAACTGTGAATCATATCAGTGATACAATCTGTTTACAGTTGTGTGTCAGCCTCCTGGGCTGTGCTTGGTTTCATGTGAGAGGTGTGATCACATATTCACCCTGGAATGACCCAACAAGCCATGATCATGAGTTATAGTGAATAATCTTTGGTCCCACACACTATACTGTTTATGACACAACATAAGAATAAGTTGAGAGGTGAAGTAGTCCAGTGTCTATGTGTGAAGTGATGAGGACATAATCCTCAAAGCTATAACATATAAAAAACTACAATGGAACTCAGAGTAGACCCCTCTGTCAAGGGCCTTATCCTGGAAGTCCCCACATCTGCCTCTTTTTTTTGGCCAAATTTTTACCATACAGATTTTTACCATACAACATTTTAGATTTTTGTCTAAAAAAAGTCCCTTTTAGTAAATCAAGCCACAACAATTTGCACACACTCATAGATATCAGCCATCTAAATATGTCTGCTTTTTTCATCTAAGTCCGTGAATATTTCCTTGGGAAGTTGCTAAAAAAAACACAATGTTAAAGGATGGATCCATGCCAGAATTTAATAGGTTTTTTTCTTGGCCCGTGTCCCATCCTTTCAACAACATTGTCGAAATCCAGGCTGTAGTTTTTCTAAGATGCTGCAGTTCGAATATTTCACACTCCTGTCTCTACTCAGTCCTCTTCCCTAATTTGAACAAGAGTGAGATTTAGTGTCCTGAACCCAATAGTACAACAATATTGTACGCTAATTACAGTTAGAAGATGAAATACCAAACAACTATTATTGTGCTGGAATTGTGTGGGAAATGTCTGTGGTGAAAAAGTTGAACGCAGAGTTCCTGGAGACGGATTGTCTCGTTCAGGAATGAATGTTGAAATGAATCATGAAATGTGTGATAAGTCACAGCAACCTGTACCACCCAGTTACAGGCGGGTTATCATCAGAGACTTATCAGCTCCTGGATGTGGACAGAGGGACAGGCAGGCTGGAGGAGACGCTTGATTCATGCAGCCAAAACAACTGGAAGCTTGAAGCTGAAAAAGATGTAGAGAAGAGATTAGATTTGAGGAGACTCAACTCCTCTCTGCCACCCATTTACACTGTAGAATA